GTGGTTTCATAAGCTATAACCAAAAGGACAAACTGACTGATGGATACATGAAACCACTCAGTACTAACTGTGAAACTTCTTCCGAATCTATCATTATTTTCTTTTAAACGGTGACTGTGATTAAACATTTATTTAATTTGGAGGAGCCTTGCTTAGTCATGCTTGCTAATGCTGTAGCTACCCTCTCTGGGGCATTTGGTTGAAATTTGAATAAGCCGCCACTAGATGACACCATAGATTGCATAAGCAAACTATCAGAATATTGCCTCAGGGTTGGAGGTTTATTGAAGCCTCTATTGATTTTGAACATGTGCATTTTTTAAAATATGTTTTATAGTCAAACTTTTACATTCTATTGATCTTAAAAATATTATCTCACTGTACTAAACATCACTTTAGGAGCTAACGACAAGATTGATAGCTCAAAGCCCCCAGCCAGACCAGAGGAGCAAAATGAGGCTTTCTACTCCAGTAAAGATTTAGAGCTTCAGAAACCCCTGGGATCAGTTCTACTCTCTCCTACGTGGTTGTTCTGAGTCAGAACTGATTAGATCAATGATGTTGGTTTGGCTTTCTGGAAGTCTCACTTTAGTTATGCCTTAAATGTTATAAAATTTTGGTGTTTTATTTGTCTGTTTGGTTTGGTTTTTAATTACTTTGCTCTACTAAAATAAATAAACAAGAAATGAAAATAAAATAAAATAAAATATTACATAACTGAAGACATGACAAAATAATAATTTATAAATTATCAAGGGTTTATGAGGGGGAAGGGGAATGAGCTGATACTAAGGGCTCAAGTAGAAAGCAAATGTTTTGAGCAAATGTTATGATGAGGGCAACAAATGTACAATTGTGCTTGACACAATGGATGCATGTATGGATTGTGATAAGAGTTGTATGAATCCCCAATAAAATGATTTTTTTAAAAAAAGAAATCAAAGGACATAAAAAGAATATTACATAACTGAAATAATGTACATCTATGACTCCATAATCAACAATACACCTTTCTTTAAAAAAATAAAAATAAAGAAAAGTGAACTGAGAAACTTTTTCCTGCATTTTTTTTACAATGCAGATCACTAAGGGCTATACCACTGAAAACCCCTAGTTTTCTTCTAAAGGAATAGTACATTTCTCTTCTGGACCAAGAGTCTCCTGCACTTTAAGAGTCCTCTTTCAGTGGATGAGAGGATCTCACTCAGACCGTTGCTTAAAGAATGTTGCCAAATGATACCAGTCCAGACTGGGCAGATTTAAAAAATTAGGATGCCTTCAAGTTATCATGAAAATAGCTATTCTATATATATGGAAAGACTTTGTCTTGCACACTTTGGGCATGTTGCCAAGAGAGACCACACCCTGGAAAGGAACATCACGTTTGATAAAGTGGAGGCAGCTGTGGAACACCAAGAGCTTGCAACAGTGTATCTGGCCTTACTTCTACAAACACAACCAAGGCCTGGGAAACCAGCTCCACTTGGAGAAAAATCTCCATTGCTCCAAAATAGAGGTATCCTCAAATACACATTCTCCAGGCCAAAAAGGCCCATAACTGCCCTCCAAAAAGGAGCTGTCATAAAAGGTACTCCTGGCTCTTCACTGTAGCCTGAAGGTTATCTGGAGTTAAGAGCAATCAAATTCTATGGCCGGCCCCACCCTAAAGAGTAGTTAACTTCCTTCAAATGTTTTCTTCTCATGCCAATCACAAATTGTTCCCTTGGGGAGGGCTCAAACACCTAAGGTTAAGCCTCATTCTATTTGGCCGCGTATAATGTTACCCACTCACTCTATGACATGTTCACTCTTTTACGTGTATGCCTGTTGAAAGGTTTGTAATCCCCATGATGACATATACCCAGTGAAAAACACATTAGCACTTTTGGACCCTATATCAGGAGGAGCCCCTGTGCCTCCATTTGTCTGACTAAATTATTTTCCATAATCGCAAAGTTGCTCCTAAGGACCCATTCGACTGAAGGTGGGTCCCCGGACAGGCAGTGAAAAAGAGGAAGGCCCTCAACAAGAGAGATGACACAGTAGCTGCATCCATTGGCTCAAGCACAGGAACAATTGTGAAGATGGCGCAGGAATGGGCAATGTTTCCCTCTGGTGCATAGGGTTGCTATGGATACAGCCGACTTGATGGTACCCAACAATAACATCCATCCATACATACATACACGGAGAAATGCAAAGAGAATCAAGAGTGTACGAACTCTTCATGGGGGTTGCGCTAATATATAGTGGTTCCTGTTCGGTCACAGTGGGTTACACGTCGGGCTGCTAACAGCAAGGTCAGCAGTTCGAAACCACCAGATTTAAGGTCTCAGAAATCCACACAGGCCGCTCTACTCAACCCTATAGGGTTGCTATGAATTGGAACTGACTATGACAGTGAGTATGAGTTTGTGATGGTCACTGGTCGTATTAGTATCCACATCCTCTAATGACACTCAAGTTTCTTATTCACAGTAGATAGACTTACCTTCTCTTTCATGTTCTCAAAAGTTCCGCCTTGAGCCAGCACAGTATTGGACTGCAAATCAAAAATGAATCCCGATGAATCTGAAAAAATGAGAAGGGAGAAATATATTCACTGTGATCC